TTTCATTGTCGCGTTTCTTTTCGCCATTGATGCAGCTTCCATCATTTCAGTTCATCTCTGTTTTGAACTGTCTTATCCGGATAATTCCAGTCAGGCGTTGCAACGGATCCTTCCGCTTCACTGACCTTCTTTCCTCTGCACTTTGTTGTTTCTCGCTCTTTCACAACATTTTATTTCGCACTACCATTTCAAATACCAAATATTAAAAACCTTCAGATGTCGTCCAGTGGGTGTCACCGGTGCGGAACAATTATTGCTGGATACACATGCGCTGAAAACGTTTCTTCTTTCGATGCCATCGGCGGAGTCGTCAATAAACACCAAACCACCAACAGTGTATACTAATGTCGTTGTAAAAACGATGACCAAGGCGGAAATGGTCCTCAAGGTAAACCGTTTTGTCGCTTTTGAATAAACTGTTTTTAAGACAAGTTTGCTCAAAAGGTCCTCATATTTCCATTTTTCTCGTCCAGGACGGACTGAAGAAGTCTAAAATGAACTTCGAAAAGATGATGCGCATATATAATCAAAAAATGATTGGTACCGGTTAGATGCATTTTGTTGCCCAGGGCCTGATCTGTTTCTTCTAGACTTTTGTTTGCCCGCATCTGAATAAAATAGGCTTACAGTCGAAATTCAGTCGACCATAATTCCTATTAAGCCAGGTCCGGTTAAATCCGGAATGTGTCATGTTTTTTTTTTTTTTTTAATGTGCGACGTGTCCTTTTCCTCACTTGTACTGGTTCAACACTTGCTAAACTTCAGAATCTGACACCTAAGCCTGATTCATTAATGGTGCACGCAGTTATAGCAGACTAATAATACGGCAGCGTGGTGTGATGTGCTGTAGCGTAGTGCAAGAAAAAAGGGAAAGGAAGTTAGACAGCTGAATGATCAAGGCGGCAGACGAAAAATAAAAATAACGCACGGGCTGCCCGTGCAAAGATGCGTTTTTTGCATGGTTCCCCGCAGTTTTTGTTGCTACCGACATCGGTTTTTTCGGCG